TATGTCTCTCTCTGTCAAATAAGTAAATAAAATCTTAAAAAAAAAAACAAAACCAGACACTAATAACTACAATAAAGGCAGAAAATTTTAAAATTAAACATGAAATTCAATCAGGGCCATATCAAATACGTTTAATCTTCCAGAGTTCAATGCAAAAATATATGTTCACACAACTGATCATTTGCATACTGGTCTTACCCAAACTTGGAGAAATGGAGTGTTCTTTCTCTTTCTGTGAATTTAAATACTTTAAGAATTTGTCTAGCATATTACTTCTAGGTTCTAAGTAGGGTCAGGCCTCAACTCCATATGCTTTCTGAGAGACTCAAGACCGCCTCAAAATTTGGTGTAGCCATATCACTTCCATTTACACATGGACTGGTGTTATTAATTGGAATCACACAATTTCAATGGGTGGCTACCAGGTAGATGGGCTACCAATCCCACCAGCAGACTCTAATGTGGTAGTATTTGTACAACTGAGCTAGAATCTGGCCTAACTGGGCTGTTGGCATTCATTAAGAATTTAAGTTCAAGTTCTCTCATGTCTTCATAAACCTCCATATACAGAAATCATTACCTATGGTTTAATAAGATGCTAGAAGATGCCAAGATGACATGTGAACATTTGGCAACCATACTAAGTTCATCACTGTTCTATGCTTCCATGAACATATAAATCACTATTTGAAGGGAGTAATATAAACCACTTTCATAACCAAGTCCTCCTTGGTTTTTTCTGTTCTTTTTTCCCTTTTTTCAATCTATAGCACCAAATATACCAGTTTAAGGACAGAAAATCTGCAAAAGTCTAATCTGAAAAATATACTGAACCGCCAACTGGGAGTTACATACTGGAGGACTAGGGGGTGGCAGGATAGAGAATAAAAAAGCAAAACCAACCAGTTTTGAAATATAGTCCAGAACCATCTGTTCAATTTTCTTCTTTTCTACACCATGTAGGTGTCTCAAAAGATGGTCTTTTAGCTCAGACACCATCTGAAAACAGGACACGGATTAGATAAGTCACAACCTACACACTCACACCTGCTACAGGTTGAAACTAGATCCATTTATTAACACTCTTTACCAACACGAAAAATACTGGACCTGAAGATCCCATTGGCGGAAATGTACAACCCATAGTGTTACTTTAATGGGCATAAATCAGGGACACCAACGTTCCTCACGAGGAACTGTTGATTCACCCAGAGCCCAGTGAGCAGCCAAGAGTCAGATTCCCAGCCCTGATGAGAATTCTCCAAAGAAGCTGAGGGAAGCCACTAACTTAGAAGTCAAAGGTTGAAGTCTATTGCTCCCAGACCTGGAGAACTAACAGGAACAACTGTAATCATGGAGTGACTATGTTGATGCGGGGTAGGGGTGGAGGGTTGAGGGGGGCGGGGTGTCGTGGGGAGAGGCATGCTTTGGGGCATTTGGAAGGACAGAGGCAGCAGTAAAAACGAAATGCATCAGATACCTCCCTCTGCAGTGGCTCTAGACATTCAACACAGCGCCCTAACATGCAAAAGTAATGGAATTATTGATTCTATCGCCTCTAAACAGACTTGTATATCTACTCTGTTCTCATCTTTCTTGGAGCTCACCAATCCGTGTAGCATCCCAGCCCTCCCTGCCTTTTGCTCTTTTGTCTCCTTCTCCTTTTTTTCCCTCTTTTGCCTAAATGTCCTCCTCAGTTGGAGGCCCTCCTCGCTAGAGATCTTTGCACCAATAAACACCATGGGAATTGTACAACTGACATCATATGTGCACATATTATGTCAGCAGATTTACATATATGACACCCTGAGCAAAACTTAGCCCATGGCATTCTGGGCCACGTGTTAATTAGGCTTAAAATTTTTAAATTTTTAAAAAAGATTATTGCATGCTTTTTTGTGCTTTTCAATTTTTCTATGACAACCATAAAGATGAAAATTTAAATCACCCATAATCCTATCATCTGTGTTAACATTTTGGATTTTTTATTTTCCTTTTCTCCAGTGTGCACACTCATTCCAATGTTTTCTAATTTGCTTTTTTTTTTTCATGTAATAGTTTACGTCATTAAATACTCTTTACCACACTGGTTGTAATGGCTGCACAGTATTCAATTTTAGGAGAAAGTACTAGAATTGAATTATTTATTCTCTTCTTACACATATGGGATACTTCTTCTACGACTGTGAATAGAACTAAAAAAAACCCTTATACATGATTTGTTTGCCATACCCCCAGTTATTTTCTCAAGCTAAATTCCTAGAAATGGAACTTAGTGCGTCACGTACTTAAGTTACAGAGACACTGCCAAAATGCCTCCCACGTGGTTATACTAGTCTTTTTTTTTTTTTTAAGTTTTTATTTCTTTTTTAGAGAGTGAGAGAGAGAAAGACAGCATGAGAGTGGGGAGGGTCAGAGGGAGAAGCCGACTCCCTGCCGAGCAGGGAGCCCGATGTGGGACTCGATCCTGGGACTCCAGGATCATGACCTGAGCTGAAGGCAGTCGCCCAACCAACTGAGCCACCCAGGTGCCCTCCATGAGAGTTTTCAAATGGATTTGGACATTCTTCCCAAGATTAAAAAAAGCTATGAAATTGGTTCTGAAGAAAAGTTTATTAAAGGTTCCTATAGATTTCCTCGATTCGAAATTCCTCCTGCAGCCCTGCATCCATGTCCTAAAGATCCCTGATGGCCCTTCATCCTCTATCCCTAGGGCACAGCCCCACATCCAACAATCCACTCTTGGCTTCCTCTGCATGTCAGCTCCAGGCAACAGAACAAATCGGCTAAAAGTAGGCATCAGTTCCAAAACAGAGCTTTTCCAGCCAACTCTAGTCCTCATCCTCCAGGGTTCCTGGCCTCCGCTAGCCCGTGAGGGGAACACAGGTCCCATTTAAACCACAACTGCTCCAGCTCCAAACCATGACTCTCTTTCATGGTCCTCATTCCCTTTATTCTTTAACCAATTGGGTTACAAGTTTCCAACACTTGGAAATCAAACAGTTCTCACTAGTCCAGCAGGCTTGGAAAGCAAGCACACATACATACAAAAGTACATGAGAAAACACCCTGTATTTACCCACACATGTGCACACCCACGTGACCCAGTGTCACTTTCCACGTCACATGAGGGAAACCAACATTTAAGAGAAAAGGACAGAGATACTTGACCCATGGACACAAACCATTAAGTCTACTCATAATAATTCTCAATCACTATGGATAACATTTTTCCATGTTTTCCCTCCTTACATATCCCTGGGAAGGAGTGTGATGCTTCCTAGAAAGTAAAGTTTTATGGTCTCCTGGGTAAAAATTGTCCCTAGTAAGTCACTTTCATTTACTTACAAATGGGGCTTGAACATACATGGTGAACGAACCTGAAAGTATCAACCCAATCCTCTACCAAGTCTTTTGTGTTGATGACAAATGATAAAGAGTTGAAGCCAGAAAGTCATATATAGTTTTCATGAAATCCCTTCACTCTTTCTAGAGGGCACCTGGAAATTCCTATTCTATTGGGATAATTTAAAGTCCTCTATTCTCCTCATGAATGGTCACTGTCAGATTCCTATAAATCGAAAGAAACTCCTTGTGCCCAACACTACCCGCATGTCTTATAAGGTAAGGTGTATGGACAGAGAAAGCATGAAGGACTCCAAACTGAGTCAGATGTATCACAAATGCAGACTAGCCAGGACATGCTATGGGGATTTCTGGGCCCATAAACAGTCAGTGTTTTGGCATCAACTAATTCAAATGGAATATAAAATTCAAGAGGCAGCACAGAATAGTCATTAAAAGAACAGATTTTGGAACCAGACTTCCTGGATTTGAATACTGGCTCTGTTGCTTAATCACTGTGTGACTTTCAGGCAAGTTACATAAACTTTCTGTGCCTCAGTTTCACCATCAATAAAATGGGAATAATATTAAAGTGGAACCATATGAAAGTGCCTTTTTTTTTTTTTTTAAGTCAAAAACTGGTTGGATATTGACAATTTAATGTGGTTCGTGTTAAGCTCCTACCATTTAGGACTGTTAGGAAAATTGAATGTGCTTACTTATGTAAAGTACTTACAGCAACTGGCACAAAACGGGCACCATCTACATATTGGCTTAAAATGAAAGAGTAAAGGAATGAATTACTGAGAGATGATGGGATAGATGTATATATATAAATAAATTAAATTAAACTGGCTAATAAACATTATGTAGTGACAGTTATCATAAAGCTTAACACTCATCAGAACACATATGTAATGAATACAAGGCAGACAGGAGCTTATTTGCTTCTTATAATTAATATATGTTCCCAACTAGACTTCTGTTAATTTTTGTAACTGCTATAATTTCTAGCACAGCACATGGAATGTAATAAAAAAAAAAATCAACAAATGGTTGTTTATTGAGTGAACAAATGACCAATTAAATGAATGACTGCATACACATGTGCCAAGGGTGTTTTGAGGCCTGACTTGGTCCTGTTTCAAAATCCTAAGGGCGATTTTTAGCTTCCAAGCACGTAAAAATCAGCTATTTTCTGACACCCAGCCAGACCCACTTCCTCCTGAGTGTTAACTTTCTCAGTCAGATAAACTAAGCCTGCAGACATCAGAGAAAGATCTCCCTGCACCAGCTCCACTGGTTCCAAGTATCCTAGCGAGCCACATGGGGACCAGCCTCGGCTCCCTAAAGTTAGTGACGAGCCACAGCAGAATTTAATAATCGGGGGACATCTGGTCTGCAGAGACCAATGTCAGGCCCATCTCTCACAGTGACCCCAGACACACAAGTTCTCAACACAGGTCGTCTCATCCTTAAATGTGTAAGGCCTGGGGACCACATGAAGAAGAAAGAACAAATGTAATACAACAAAGGACAAAAGAGCCAAGACTTACCAGGAGGCAGAGGTAAAAACAAACTCGTAGTAGCTTCCAGAATCCTGGTCATGATGTGAAAGACTGTAAATTCAGCAGCACTGGCCTGCTTGCTGCTGGGTAAAACGACAGAGCTGCCGTCAGCCGAGGGGTTCATCCCTAAAACTCCGTCTGTCTGAGCAGCGGCTCTGAGTAGCACACGGAGATGGAATCCATGCTCACTGTGAAGCCTCAAGTATGATGGAGACCATCAGCCTAAGGCCTAGGATCTAACCAGACAGTGCGTACATAAATGATCGATTGCATTAACTCAGATTCCCCTTCCTGGCCGTCCTGAGCTCACATGCCCCTCCGTCCTCATCAACCACATGCCAGGGAAAGAGTATGGTGAAGCCACAGGGCTGTTCCTTTAAATGCTGCGTACAGAACTAAGACTGTCAGGGCTGGTGACAACTGCTTTCAGTTGTTAAGTTCCAACAGGCAGCAATTAGAGTTGTTTTAGCTCTTTATACACCTCAATAAGGGAGAAGGAGAAATACTTGCGTACAAGTGGAGAACCGAGGGGTGAAGATGATGTTTCCTCCAGCTGGTTTCCAGGATTTGGCAAATGAGATCCAGCTGGAGGATAAAGACAGTCTGTTACCCTTCGCCCATGCCCTCTCCCTTGGGGGCCCCTACAGCGAGCCCTCTGCGGGCCTGACAGGCCTGTTCAGGGCAGCTGGTATTTAGCCTGGGCCCGGACACAGAACCAGCCTTTCTGCAGGCAATGCTGACGCACTGGAATCCAAAATGGAAAAGACTGAAAATGTGCACCAGAGTCTAACAGAGCCCCTTCTGTCTACACAGGCAGTGCCCCCGCTGAGCTTCCCCAGCCCCTTTAACAGGCCCTCAATCACAGGCCCTCTGCCATCAGTGAAGGTCAAGTACAACTGGATTTGCTCTAGGCCTGTTACATGACAAAGGCCAACAGCTGACAGTGAGAAGAAGAGAGACACAGAACAAGATAGAGGTCCTGAGCATCGACTGTGGAGTATGACCGGCTTCAAGTCCAGGTCAGACATTTGACTAGTTTGTCAGCAACAGAGCAGTCTCCATGGGGTTGTGATCCGCCATGAATCCCACGCCCTGCACCTAGAGGCGAAGGACAGGGTGCCAATCGGAACGGATCTCCATATGGGCACAGATAAAAACAGTTCATTCTCAATGACACAGATTCTCAGTGTCTCTTTGGCTGAAGTCAGGTAAGATGACTCGTAAGTGATATAGTCTGGTTCTGCAGCAACTTCCTCCATTTGTTTTAGAAAGCCCCATTGGCCGCCCTCCTGAGGGGACTGGGAGACATGGCTGTTTGCAGGAGCAGGAAGGTGTGGCTACAGTCGGTGACTGCCGAGTCAGAAAGTTAGGGGTACTGAGTTTGCTAAGGCTACATCCCTACCACTTCTGGTCCTATCGGTTCCAGCAGTTGTTAACACAGCCTAGTGTTATCAGGAAGAATGATGCTTGAACAAAAACCCTTAATACTTTGGAAGGTGAAATTTAAAGTCAACAGAAAGAAAGATGATAGATGGACATGTTAAATAGCTGTGTTATTAAAGGACAAAGAAAGCAAGTTAATACCATCATGGGGAAGATCAAAGCCACATTCATAAAGTGAGCTCCCTGATACAGTTCTACCAGAAAGAATTATTATTTAAGAAAGATTCAATGCCAAAAAAAAAGAAAAGTTTCAATGCCTTGCTTGTAAATATCAATATATGAGAATGCCAACCTCTCCTAATTTATTAAAACTTGTGAAATTCAAAGATATTATTTTTTTTTAAAGATTTTATTTACTTATTTGACAGAGAGAGACATAGTGAGAGCAGAAACACAAGCAGGGGGAGTAGGAGAGGGAGAAGCAGGCTTCCCGTGGAG